GGGGGGGGGTTCACTTTTAAGCAGAGTATAATTGTAAATCTATTATCTGCACTCTATTAGCAGTATATACTCTATATGTACTACATATAGTGTACACACTGCTAATAGAGTGCAGACAATAGATTTACAATTATACTCTGCTAACATGAATGGATTAAATGTTCTGTATGTAGCCCTGTACTATGGATCATTTAACCCATTCATGTTAGCAGAGTAGAATTGTAAATGTATTGTTGCAGGCACTCTATGTACTGTACGTGTACTATATGCTACATATAGAATGCACTGCAACAATAGATTTACAATTATCCCATGCTAATATGAATGGGTTAAATGATCCGTAGTACAGGGCTACATACAGAACATTTAATCCATTCATGTTAGCAGAGTAGAATTGTAAATGTATTGTTGCAGGCACTCTATGTACTGTACGTGTACTATATGCTACATATAGAATGCACTGCAACAATAGATTTACAATTATCCCATGCTAATATGAATGGGTTAAATGATCCGTAGTACAGGGCTACATATCATGTACTATGGATCATTTAACCCATTCATGTTAGCAGGGGATAATTGTAACTCTATTACTGCAGTGTACTGGACGTGTGCGCTGTATATGTACTATGGATCATGATTTAACCTATTCATGTTAGCAGGGCAGAATTGTGAGCGCCTCCCACAAGGTGAGCACCGAGACGCGATGCAGGGACCATGTATATGTAGTACATATATACAGCACACACCTCCACTACATTACAGCAATAGATTTACAATTCTCCCCTGCTAACATGAATAGGTTAAATCATGATCCATGGTACATAACATGTAGTTGTACTATGGATCATTTAAAGTCACCTGTCCCTTTAAAAAAAAGTACCGTAAGGTCCATAAAGACATGGATGAGCGAGTTTGGGGTAGAGGAACTTGACTGGCCTGCACAGAGTCCTGACCTCAATGTGATAGAACACCTTTGGGATGAATTAGAGCGGAGACCGCGAGCCCGGCCTTCTCGTCCAACATCAGTACCTGACCTCACAAATGCGCTTCAGCAAGAATGGTCAAACATTCCCATAGATACACTCCTAAACCTTGTGGACACCTTCCCAGAAGAGCTGAAGCTGTTGTAGCTGCAAAGGGTGGGCCAACTCAATATTGGACCCTACGGACTAAGACTGGGATGCCATTAAAGTTCATGTGCATGTAAAGGCAGGCGTCCCAATACTTTTGGCAATAGAGAGTAAATAAATTTGATGCCTATGTACACACTACTGGGTGGAGGAGACTGCATCTACTGTAGGCAAAGTTGAGCTTATCAGGGGCAGATTGATTAGTTTCCCAATTAGGGCTTGTATTGACTGTGAAAGAACCTTTTGGTTTGGCATATATGTGGTTAGTAATAAAAGTCTATGACTGCTGTTTATAACACCTGTTTAGTTGATGCTATTGTCCATTTCCCTAGAGTTTGTCAAGAGAGGAAACTGTCACAGCCGTACACAAACAGGCATTAGTGTGGAGAAAAGTAAAGGTCATCATCAGCTGTGTCTTGGCCTTACATGCCCCATTTTTTCCCCCACATACACATTGGCAATATTTAGCCAGCAGAAAACTCAATCCTATATTGGTAGCTTTCTCTCCCTAAAGGAGGTCATACACCTTACAACCATTATACAACTTTTTTTGTCCCGACATCGCACCCTCGTTCAATTTTAATTCAACTAGCCCATCATGAACAGACCAATGTAGTTTGCGATTATCGTTTGTCCACACTACTAACTGGCCGAATTTCATCGATCAATAGAACAGATTTTCGTTGGCATCTTGCGATTTATGTTGTACGAAAAAGAAAAACCACTAATCCGTCTCATCTAAAGTTTTCTAGTCTGCTTGAAAGACGAAATTTGGCCAATTGTACAGTAATTGCAGTTGTGCAGTTCCCATCAACTGGCTGATTATCAGACGAAACCGCGATCTCGGATGAAAATCGTGCGATAATCGCAAGGTGTATGGGCACCTTAAGAAATACCTACTCCGTATCTGCTGAGGTCTGTCAGAACCCATACCGCTGCTAGTAGCCATCTGGTTATTTCAGAATATCTATGCTTACCTTTGCCGAGTCTAAAAAGTTAGGCACTCACTATAAAGGCCCACATTCACAAACGTATGTTTGCTGCATGTGAAACAGGACACACGATGCGCCAAGAGTTTGAAAAATGCCCTAGACAGTGTCACTAAAACAGATTTCATCATGTATTTTGTGCACAATTTTAAATGTCATTAAAGAAACCCATCTTGAAATGAACATTGAGGTTGCCATAGTGGACCTACTTTTCTGAAAATGCTTGTTGCATGGCTATCATATCAATTCTCTGGCGTCGGTGCTCTAAAAAACTGCCCTGGAACAAGTATTCAGAGAAGGACCTATGTCTTTTCACCAACTTTCCTGATTTTCAAATGCATTCTAATAACTAATTAAAAGTATCAGGTCACCATAAAAGCCATGCAGCTACAATTTCCAGATGTCAGCCCCACATTTCTCTCATGACAGGTTTACTTAAATTGCACCACAAATGCCCAAGCAAGAGCAGGAAATAAGACCGTTAAATGACAAAGATGTCACTGCTTTCAGACTTCTTCATTTTAACAGATTCTGCATTCACAAATTAACCGTGGCATAGCTTTTTAAATGCTAATTTAACTTTATATATATATTATCCAAAACATCGCTACTTATTTTCTGCCTGTTTTAGTAGACATAAAGCAAGAGTGAGCCTGTATGCTTTCCTTCTATCTAACCATTACAATGTTGCTTTTTTTTTTTTATTAGTTGTTAAGTTTCATGGATGGGCAATGAAAATAAACATTTGCAGAACTAAACAGTTAACAATTCTTTTCTCCTGTTCCTAAAACAAACATCTGGAATATATTTAATATGAATACAAAACTTCCACAGAAACCTCCAGTTGCAAAGCATCAGTATCTTTGCTTAAACACAGTGGGATTTTGGAATTATCCATTAGAAACTTTTAAAGGTCATTCCACTCAAAAGTAATAGCTTACTTAGGGCCGGTGCACACCTAGGCGATTTATCACGCAAAACACCGAGTCACATTGAAGTCAATGGAGGCTGCTCACACCTTTGCGGTTTATCGCTCGACCAAAATCGCTTGCCGTGCGAAAAGGTGCAGGAGCTATTTTCGGACGGTTGTCGCGCGGTTTGGGTCCCATAGACATCTCTATGCATTGAAAATCACACGGTTTACAATGAACAGTCGTGCGATCGGAAACACGGGACAACTGCATGAAAACAGCTTGGCATCTGAATTGCCTAGGTGGAACCTGGTGGGTTGAGTCAGCCTCTGGGTCAGTAGCAAGATGTTTGTTCCACAATTCCTTACTTTGTTCTGGGCCTCCTGGGAAACTTGGGTTTCCTCACCCACCTTTCCACGTTTCAACATTTGTTACATTCTACAAATTATAAATTTTAAAAAATCCAACTGGGAGAGAGGAATCCCTTTATTATGGATATAACCAAGAACTGAAGTGCAGATGTCTCACTAATAGCCTCAAGAGATCAGAAACTGTCAGGGGGTTTACTTTTGCAGTAGCTACCAAAAATGTAAATATTCAGTTTGGGTGGACTGATGCTTAAAACGCATTTTAAAATGCTTGAGCTGGATGTTAGATTACTTTTTTCACCACGTGAACTGCATTTGCCATGTGTAGCTAAAATGTGTTTTGGTTGTTTTCCCTAGGAGGAAGAAGAGGAAATTAAACTTGAAATAAACATGCTGAAGAAGTACTCACATCACAGAAACATTGCTACATACTATGGAGCTTTTGTCAGGAAAGGCTTAGCAGGCCAGGATGACCAACTCTGGGTAACTCAAAGATTCAAAGTCTACACAGTATTATTAACAGGCAATAAATAATGGAACCCACTTGGTGGATCAATACCAATTTTATTTTAATAGATGGTTACCGGTTATAATAATATTTATCTTGTCTCAAATACCGTAAGTGAATTCCCTCTTTGTACTTGCTCAGTTCAGGTTTTCCTAGAAAATAATGAAGCAAGTGGCAAACTTTATAAGTGTTATCCCTTGTTCACACCTCTATAATGCAACATTGCGGTGGTGCTTCATTTGAATGGACTGCCTACTACAGCTAAATTGCGCTGAAAGAAGTGCAACAAACTTTTTTTAAATGACTTTACACCACATCTCACGGTAATAGCTGACAATGCAGTGTGGTGTGATACAACAACACACAAACAACGCAAAGGTTGCAGTTATGAAATCATGGTACTTCAGCACCCCTAACATTGCATCATGCAATGCAGGATTGCATGCGTCATCGCACACACACTCCTGTATTGCATAGATGTGAACAGGGCTTCAGGGCAAGTTTGCGTAAATCTGAACTCTAGGCAGATATAAAGACACAAATGAATGCTACTCTGTAATCATTAATACATAATTAAATGTGTTTTTTAAGCACAAGCAAACGTTCCCATGGACTTTGCAGTATTATATGAAGCAGCCCTGCTGAGATCCCCTCTAAACAACAGAACACCTCCCAACTGTCTTATAGCGAGGAGGGGAGGTCTTATGCAGTCCTAGCAGTCCTGTCCTAGACTGATAATGCTGCAATATATTACGTTTTTGTTATTGGGTTTAAAGGAAACCTTTCCTGAGAGAATCACAGAGGTTGACATTCCTAACTTTCATTCAGAAATTGCTAGTTGCTTCCTTACTTTAAAATCCCTAAACACAGAACAAATATGCTAATAAAGAGATCTTAATTCATATTCCTGACATGCATACTTAATTCAGAAGATTTAGAAGCCATGGGGGTCAACACAATAATCCCAACCCCATATTTCGCTTACAAAAGGTTTACTTGAATCCATATATACATATGTTATTTGTTTTATATTACACTGACAACTTTGCAAAGTGTTACAGTGAAGAGGGAACCATGTAGAGTACATCAGCCCATCCTATGAAAGAACTCATAATTTGATGTCCTTATCATGCTTATACACTAAAGTGTGATAGAGTGCATCAAATTATGTGACGGGAAGAAACATAGCACCCGGGGCAAACTAGGTAGTGTTCTTGTTGAGAACTTATTTTCTACAGCATCTACCAAAAACTGAGAAAATAGTTCTGGGTAGACTGCACCTTTAAATCACTAGGCATTAGTCTCTCACTCAGCCACTTTGAAAGTTTTTTTTAGGTTACTTAACAGATTGAAGACCATAAGAATCTACAGCTAGAATACAGATAAAAGTGGAGTCCATAACCACAGCACAATACCAATATCTACAAACACAGTTTTTTTCTTTGTCTCCTAATTTGCTGAGGTACTTTCAAGAGTGCAGCCTTCTTGTAAGAGGTCAAATACCCATAGTGCTATTCAGAAGTAATAACTTTGTTTCAGGTCAGGATGCCTACATGGAATAGCAAGACCTACAGCTCATGTTTACGAACAGTCCAACTTTCTAAGCACTTTCTCAGGGCTTTATAAAACAAACTACAATTATGAAGTCACCCGAGTAGGTATAGTTTTCTGTGTCTTTTCCTCCTAGATAAAATGTATTGTCTTTTGCAGTTGGTAATGGAATACTGTGGAGCAGGGTCTGTAACAGACTTGGTGAAAAAGACAAAAGGGAACTGCTTTAAGGAAGACTGGATTGCATATATTTGCAGAGAAGTTCTAAGGGTAAGTGCTTACATATTCATGTAATAGAATAAAAACAAATCCTTGCCGGGATGAGGTCCTTTAGCACCCAAGGCAAAGTTTCCAAACTGCCCTCCCCATTTCTATATTTTACGGCATACAGTGATAGAAATCCAGAAGTGACACTCACTTTGTCTCCCCTGCAGGTGATAATGTTACTTGACCTGCTGTGGTATGCCCCATTAGACATGTAGTCACAGGTTCTTAGACCACCTGACCCTGGGGAATAAAAGGCTGCGGGAAACCGGACTAGCAGCCAGGTGGGACCGAGGATGGAGGGAGTATTTTTTCTTAGCACTAAGCTCTTCAGTGCAGGGGTAGCCACAATGCAAGGGTTTTTTTTCCTGGAGTTCTTCTTTAAGTGCATGCATAAGTTATCTAAGAAATATTTACAGGTATTTAGTACCTCTTAAATCACAGTGCACCCCCCCCCACCATCCTGAAAAAGCCTTTATTCATTGGCTTTTCTTTCCAGAAGTATGGTACCATCTTTGTGCAGGCAACATTCAAGGTCAGCATCTTCTTCCTGGACTGAGATGATTGCTTGGGGATGACAATTATGTAAAGACTGGTACTCATGTTAATAAATATATGACACAGATCAACTCCTCCCGCATCCTCCCATCTTGTAACTTGCTGCAAAGTTACACTGTTGTAGTCAGATGACAGAGGTGGAGGAGATTGCTTCCTCCTGTCTGCAACCGACTGATGACATCTCATTCTAGGCAAAGTTACCTGAATTAATCTTTGTAATGATTAAACAATTTCAGTTTTCTAGAATATAATATTGTTGCTGTATTTTGTGAAATGTCCCGAATTTTTTTGGGCAGACTGATATTACTAGAATGTCCACTTTAAAGTAAGGTAGCTCTGAGCTGTTTTATCTACTGTCATAATGCACCCATACGGCACCCCTGTGAGTTATATACTGTATAGTGCTATATGCAGCTTCCCATTAACTAGAAAGTGAATACTAAACCAAGTTCTCTTTTCAGGGTCTGGCTCACCTGCATGTTCACCATGTAATCCATCGAGATATTAAAGGTCAAAATGTTCTTCTCACAGAAAATGCAGAAGTGAAGCTTGGTAAGTTTAAAAATAGCAAATGCACATACTGGGAGCCCACAAAATGAAAAAAACTACAGTATGTACTAGGGATGTTCAGGTACCAGTGTCGATACATTTTCACGAGAACTACCAGGATCAAAGCTGTTGCCACTGTGACTGGATCCTGGTGCTCAACCACTGAAATCCTTAGCCTGTATTGTTTTAGAAAAACTGTCACATGACAAACAAAAATGTATCAGTAATTGTGTCTGAGTACTTGGACAAGTATCAGTGCTTGTACTTGTACTGGGAAAAATGGTATCGGTATATCCCTAATTATATATCTATCCATACAAACATACATACATACATACATACACGAAAACAGGGATGCATAAATCCCAGGAGCCCTGTATGCTCCTTAAAAATGACAGCTGCCTCCTAACCTTTGAGTTTTTCTCTAGTGTAGTTCTGGAGCTTGAAAAATACTTGGTATAAAAGTAATTCAAGGCGGAGCTTGTATACTTCTCTTAGCTCGATCTAGTATGAAGTACTGGGAGGTCCAATTCAGCTGAACTTATCCCATCCGCATACCCTTTCTATTGGTTTATCCCCCTATTTAAGGGGACAATGAGGTGGTTGAGGTCACGTTCTCAAGAAGGGGGCGTGACCCAGGAAACGCGGCAACGACGCCACAATCCAGTGGCACACAGGCTGATTGCAGTCCTGAAACTGCTGTATCTTTGAAATCATCTATACACGCTGTTGTTTGACCTACCATTGTGAGTACTTAGCACTCCTATTTTTGTGTCTCTTAAAATAAAAAATCATCTGCACTAGGTTGGGCGCCCTTCTGTCTCTTTTGTCTTCCAGTTTTACAGTTCCCCCCGGCTGAAGTGGGGCAGCACCCCTAGTAATCCTGTACACATAACACTCAACATCAGGATTCGTTCACAGCGCTTTGGCTTTATTATAAATAGAATTTCACTTTAAAAGCCGATGTTCACACCGTTTATTAATACCTCTTTAAAAAAACACGTACAATATAAAATGGAGCTGTGTTACCTTGGAAAGGATTTGTATTTCTGACCATCCAGTCTGGAGACTTTTACAGCCTGGCCAGGCTGTACATCCAGGGTGGGTACCCGACTTCCCTCTGCTGCAGTTAAAGAGTTGCAGTGTGAGGAACCATTGAGTGCTATTGGGGACACAGGAGATAGACACTCACTAAAGGAGTTGCTTTCCGAAAAGACTTTTCTGCAGGTAACTTTTCTGTTGAGACTTTTCACTTTTAGCAATTATATTAGGTTACCTACCGGCCCCCTGCCTGTGATTGGACAATTAATAATAACTCTGCTGCTCACACTGCTCTCTCCTTGTGTCAGCACAGGTATATGACGCACACCCAATTCACTCCTAGTGTTGCCTCTCTCAGTCTAAGTGCCAAGTGCAGGGGGTTAGAAGAGGCTCATATTAAGTCAAATTAAATAATTTACAGTAGCTCTAGTTAAAAATACAGTTCATTCTTTCAACTGACTACACGCTGGGGCCAAGAGGTACAACCCTGGGAAAGTAGTGAATAAGGCATCAACCAAGCTGCTCCTTTACAGAAAAAACTCTATCATGCAAGAACAAATCTAATGTTTCCAGAGATTTTTCCATTAATCGATAAATACTATTATTTTTGTTTTAATGAAATACTAAGAAGAACAGAAGAAACATATTTCCTTGCTCTGCTAGCATGTGGCTCATGCAGTGAGCAGTCATATACACAGCATGGAGGAAACTACAAGGAAACACTAGATAGGAACAGCGCAAGAGAAAAATAAAAGACAAGTGCATATTTTCAAAGAAATGGCAAGCATAATTTAGAGGAAGTTCTTTTGTAAGAGTACCTACAAAAATATAGTGATGGTAATTGCAGTGCTTTCAAAATGTCTGGTTAAAATCATATAACTTCCAAGCTTGTCAGGCTAAAGAAAACATTATTGTAAGAGGACAATAACAGGTATAAAAATACTAAAACATCAAATCAAATAAACACTTTAATATATTCAGAAACAGACTTAAAATATGTTAGCGACCAATGAAAAAAAAATTGGCTTAGTTAAGCTAGCTTTATATTTTACTCAGGGGAAATGTTTGTTTCTTTGCATTTCTGTTAAGTAAACAATCAGTTATTGGTGTGTTTCTCCTACAAGCACCGTAAAAGCAATTTGTTACCAAATAATTTTGAATATTTATGCAAGTAAAGGAAAAACATTAACAGATTGGCAAAGGACACCATGATGGAAATGTTCATTTCATGCTCTCTTCATCCCCATTCTTCTATATAATACAATGCACACAAACAGTCTTTTTATAATTTGGGGAATACATGATAATGTGATCAGAGCTCAGTGTAAATATCCTCAGCAATGGGACTGATTTACTGAAGGCAAATAGTTCAACTTGCAAGGAAATCTGCACTTTGCAGGGGAATTTTCTCTTAGCTTAGTGAGTGTGGTTACATTTCCCTTTGCAAAGAATATCCAATCATGTGTAAAGAAAACAAACAAAAAAAACCAAAACAAAACACTCTTGACAAGGGTATTTCAGAGGTAGCCTGTCTAAACCAAAAGCCCCTTTTCAACTTGCTTGAAAACCCCCGCCTTTCACCCAATTTCCCTCAAGAATTCACACTAGACTTGTATGAAATTCAAAAGGCCACAGCAGCCGCCTCTTTAATTAAATATCAAAATGAAATATATAAATAACCATATAATATCAAAAACAAACAATACAACTATATAATTAAACAACTGTTTTGGGGTCCTTAAAGGAGAACTATGGGGTTCTATCTTTTTTTATGAATGCATTCCTTAGGCTAAATAAGAGACCCCATAGTTCTCCTTTAAAGGCACTTTACGTAACAAAAAGCCACCCATAACCAACGATGGGCCCCCAGCTGCAACACCATCACCTCGGGGACAGTATCTGCTGACTGCAGACACTTTCAATTCAGAGCTAAGTGGTCACAACAAATTGACCACCACTTAATGGCGGGGGACCCATCCTAAGTGTTGAGTCCTTTATTTCAATAAAACCAGCAGTCCAGACCACCTTCAAGGCCCCCAAACCGCCAAAATGACTGCTGTGACGAGAAACACAAAGGATCACCCTTAAGAAAGTTCTGCCCTGCCTAACTTTTGTTCAATCCGATAAACAACCCCTACTTCTACCCTCTGATTAAATGTTTAACTCTTTGTGCCTAGCTCCCCTTTTCCCCCTGTCATGCTGTCCCTCCGCACAATTTTCCCTTTCTTGTGCTCCAGGCCTGTCTTTAATTTTGCTAGCACATGATTAGATGATGGAAGTCAGCAGAGCTTCACCTCATTCACTAAGCTGAAGGAAAATTCACTTGCAAAGTGAACAGCCTATTTGCCTTTAGTAACACAACTCCAATGAGTGCTGAGCTTTTAAAAACCATTTATTCGATATCGTTGGCAAATACGAGGATTCTGGGCAGCCAATTTACACATGCGGTCCCTTCTCAGTAAATTCTGCACAAATTACTGTACATGACCAGACTTGATAAGCAACAGGAAATCTGCTCCGCCAATAGTTTGGTATTCTGGAGTATTCAGTTTATGTCTGTGTTAAGTAGACTAATAAAAGGGATTCAAGCGACAGGATGCCCACATTGCATTGGACCATGGGTTCCCTTTCCCCTCACCAGTGATCTTTACGATTACAGTTGGTAGAGGTGGGATCCAATTGGAATCCCAGCTACATCAGCACAAGGGGTTAAAGTGTAAATAAGCCCGTAAAAATGTTTTTATATAATAAAGTCCTTACATCTGGTGGCTGCATTTGATCTTTTTTCAGTCTTTTTTTCACCTTTATTAGAATGAAGTCCGTGCACAAGTTTTATTAACCCTTGCAGTGCAAGTATTAACTACTCGTTTTTTAGTTGTACTCACCTGATCTTCGTAACCGGCCAGATCTTAGACTGTTCCCTGGAGCCTTTCTTCCCCTCCACTGCAGCCGTCTAAGGTCCTGTATGTCATCATCACGTCCAATACAGTGTATAAGACGTGAGGACACAGAGGGACATACCATCACTGCAGTGGAGGAGTAGACAGCCTGGAGAAAGCACTGCCAGCTCCAAGGACCGGGTGAGTATAACTTTTTTTGACCCTAGGCAAAAAAGAGCAGTTAACTCTTAAGGGTTAAGAACACCAACCGCTTAAGACTCTGCTGCTCTAGAAAGTAATATAGATCATTTTTTGCGGTCTATGTGCTATATTCAACAAGTTCCCCCAATTTAACTATAATCTGAGTTTTATTTAAAATACATATCCCAATGAAAGCAGATTTTGCAGGCTTTTCGGAGGGCTTCTGCATAGCGCTGTAGCCTTTTCCCAGTCGATTCTGTGCGCCATAACTCCTGAATCTCAAGCTCAAATAAGATATATAAATATTACACCAATAGGGACTTGCTCTGACATAACTTTTTTTATTTGGATCATGTATTCTTTGAAAAATATAAGCAAAAACTGTTTCAGGAGCTGTATTCTGTTGCAGGACAAGTTCCGGATTTCTATTGTCTAGGGTCAGACACCACACCAGCACACATTTCAGAACTGCTCTCTGAAGACTATACAAACTTTAACCAACTATTCCCAGCAGATTTATCCTGCGTGCCTCTGTAAGTGAGAGGAACACAGAACTCTTCCATTACTCATCAGACCTCTGAACAAAAACACAAGTCCAATTGTTGCACAACAAAGTACTGAATAAAGTTAAGTGTGAATGTTTTAATTATGAGCCAACTCATTTTGAGGAACCTACAATGACTTGGCAGGACAAATGACAAAGCAGACGATTTTATTGTTTTGGCATTAGACCCAAATGAGTTCCATCTCATTCTCTCATTCTCATCAACAGAACCTATGGTACATAATTTGCAATATGTGTGTTAATTCTGCATTACTAACATATTGGTGTCATCAGTTAGGTGTATTTTCAAAGATGCTATAATATACAATAGAAGCTTT